TTTATTGTTATTATTATTAAAACAAATGTGATAAAGAGAATGAAGTTGCAACAGTAACAATAATAGGGATAACGAAAGAAACTAATTTAAAACTAAATAACGATGAACTAGTTGCACGATTACAGTAATCACTATCATAACATATGCAATGTTCACTGTCACCGGATAATGAAATGCGACAACCCGCTGGTTCCAATTGATAGATTCTAAAGAAATTTTTATCAATAATTAATAGCCTTGTAATGAGTTCAACAAACAGAAAGAAAATCAAAAACTTATGCATTAAAATTGTATTCATGCTACACATTAATTAAGTAGCATTAACTAATTACAAAAAAAAAAAAGAAAATTAGTTATTCAATATTTAATTTAATTGTTCACATATTAGACTTGCAAACTTTTTTTTTGTGCTAATGAAGATTTTTTTGAAATTTTTTTCTTGGCTAAAATAAAATAACAAGAACAAATGAAATAAAGAGAAATTAATTTTATAACATTTCATTAAAAAAAAAAGGATAAAAGTACTATTTATTTTAGGTTTTTATAATATTATATAAATAATATATCAAAAAAAAAAATTTCTGTTCAAATTAAATAATAATTTTAAAATTGTTTGAATTAAATAATAATTTTAAAATTTATTTGAATCGAATGAAAAAATTCAAAATTTATTTGAATCGAATGAAAAAATTTAAAATTTGATAATAATTATCTTTTTTTTTTTGATAAAATAATAAAATACTTTAACCTTGTTGCATATGGTAAACATGTCAAAGCAATTGTATGAATATGTTCAGTATTATAACTTTTCATTCGTATACAACCAATACCATTACATTCATTGCAACTATCCGTTTGTAAACAATCAGCGCCATCGTAACAAACTAAACATTCTAAAACTTTTTCGTTTTTTTCTTCTTTTAAATTAAAATTTAAACATTTACTTTATAAATTAATTATTTAAACTCTCTTTTTTTGATAATTTATAAGTTTAATATATCGTAAATTTCAATTTAATTTTTATCAATATAATACAATAAAATGGTTTATGTCAATGTACGTGAAAATAAACGTGTGTGTGTGCGTATGTGTGTGTTTGTGTGTGTGTATATGTGTGTGTGTTTGTGTGTGTGTGTGTGTGCTTGTGTGTGTAGAAGATGTAGACAACTGTCACCATCATAATGAATTCATGATATATGAAAATGAATTTCCATGAAATGAAATTAATTTCACTTAAATTGTTAACCAATTCAAATTTATCAATCAATTCCATTTCTGATTTGAAATATTTTCGAGATCGAACAAATATTCTAATTGAATTTTTCATTTCATAAATTGTTAGCAAAAGAATTTATAATGAAATTTAATTTTAATTATCAAAATTAAAATAATTCACTTCATTGTACGATGCTTCAAATAGATAATAGCTTAAATTGGTTTACACAATGATTTTATGATTGATAGCATGAAAAAAAGGGATGAAATGATATCAATAATGAAAGTATGTTATTCGAATAAGGTTATCAGTTCAATCTCATGATAAGATAAATAAATTGTTTAAGTTTAAAAAGCAAATGATAAAAAATATATATATATATGGTTTGTAACTTGAGAGAAATTTTTGAAAAATTATTACTACTGTGAATCAGAAAATATTTTTATATTAAATTTAATTTTCAATTAATCCGTTTATGTTTTTGATTTCACCCTTTACAGTATCATTATTTAGGCTTTTATTCATCATCATCATCATTATCATCATCATCATCATCAACATCATCCATCATCATTGTCATCATCATCAT